AGCATGCATCAGGATATGTTAACAACTTATTATTATTATTAATAATAATATTGAGCATGCATCAGGATATGTTAACAACTCTTTACAGAGCTCAGGGCTCCAGTTTTAATTCTGGACTGAACAACCTGAAGAATGTTGTGAGGTCCTCTTCAGCATTAGGTTTCCTACTAACATTTAAATTACAGTTTCACATTGCAACAATTAACACATACTTCTTTAAAGGTCAAGAATTTATGGTTTTGTGCAAATTTTTATTTTGTAGGAAAATGTTTTTTAAAATGGCTCTGAAAATAAAGGTTGCACCTCAAGAGTCCAGTTGGTTTTACTCTTGTAGCGTGATGTGCGGTACAGGAGTGGACAGCAGAGGGTACTGTGGTATAACAGTACCCATCCACAACCAGTACATCCATCCTTCCATCCATCCATCCATCATCCATCCATATCCTCCCCTTGGCAGCCCACACAGCTTCATCTGACTCCAGATTGTGACTGCGCCTACAAACCATTAACGCAATGACTTTCCTGTCGTTAACCATTTTGTTTAATAAAACCTTTACTTTAAAGACCAAACGTGAGTTCTTTTCTGCAGATGTTCTCTGTGTGCTTCTCCGTTCACCTTCAGGAACGTTCCTGGGAAATTATCCTGCACTTCCTGTGTCGTTTGTCTAATTCAGAAAGTAGTTCTACCTTCACACTGCAGGCAGAAGTTTTTTGTTTGGCCCACACGAGACCCATATTGGACTTTAGTTTGACAGAAGGAACACGAGGAACTCCATTTTTTCTCATCTGACCCAGGTCTTTTCACATGTGGTACTAAATCCGATCCATGATTTTCAAAGTGACCTCAGTCTGGATTTGAAATCATTCTGTAAGAACGGAGAGGTGCTGCAGCGGGTGAGGGTTAAAATGATGTAATGTATGGTTTATAAATATATGTGTCCTGCAGCCTCCAGAAAGCCTCTGTGGGCTCAGCTGCAGCGCTTTGGGGACAAAATGCTTTTTGATCCAACAGCTGAAGCTCGGCTGGTATCACATTTATACATCCAGCCTCTTCAGACTTTTTATACCAAATCAAATTGTCAGTAAATAAAAAGACAAATAAAGGCCCACCCCCAGAACCACACAACCCAGCCGCCTGTCGAGAAGCATTAATTATGCAAAGGAACAGAGCGTGAGTTCAAACCAAGCAGAAACACTAAACTGTAGTTTAGTGTAGAGCATGCATCAGGATACTAAAGTGTAGGTTTCTTTCTGCAGGGGGTCTCCACAGCAAACACATCGAATACTGTCTGTTCATCGCTGGATGACTCTCCTGGAGTCACCTGGGCTCACAACTGCAGCCCGAGGATCCCAGGCAAGTGTAAAACGAGTCTCTTGAGAACTCTTCATGATTTTTGTCTGAAGGGTGACGGTGTAACAAGACAAATGAACCCGTGCCCAGAGTGTACCCCTCCAGGCCTGAATCTATCGATATACTCGTAATCTGACCTGAGGGTGTATGAACTGGCCAAATGTTTAGAGTTTTAACTTTTAAATTAGTTAACTCTCTCCCTTTCTGTACCTGACAAAGAAGAACCCAATGAAATGTTGGAAAATGAAAGAATTCTTGTGTTTATGACTCAACACTACTGACATCATGGGGTATAATCTGGCTGGAGGGGTAGGAACACGCCAATCTATGCTGCTGAGTATTAATTAGCTTAGACCGTATACTCTGTGTATCATGAAGCCCAGGTCCTTTTAACTCCAGCCTACTGGTATACTATGACTTGTTACATCATGTGTTATATATTATATATATCCTTAAAACATGCAGAAATACTTGCAAACCAATACTTCAAGGAGACTCGAACAGACATGAGTGGCTCGGCTCACAAGCACAAGCACAAACAAGGAACGAACAAGACGACAGTATTTAAAGAGGACTAAAGGACAGATAATGACAAACACCTGGGGACGGACAGAGAGGACCAGGTGAGAGTGGGAGGGGACAGGAGCTGAACACAAGTAGAACCAAATACAAGACTTACAGAAAAACTAAATGAACAACACAAGATACTGACCCTGACGGGTAGAATCATCAGCTGGCCTTTCTTACGTCTGTGGACCGTTGGAGGAAATCTGAGCACCCAGAGAAGAAGACAATCCTCAGACCCAGAAGATGTGCAGCTTTGGCCCTGGTTGTGGAGCAGTGGATCAGATCTTCACTCTTCCAGAGTTGTTCAGGGGTTCATGGAAGGTGGACTCTAGGTCTACATGTGTTTTGTGGACTTGAAGAAGGCTTGTGAAGCTGTCCGTGTGGTGTTAGGGTTTAACTATTGAGGACTATTTGAACCCTGCAGCTCCAAAGTAAGAGCTGTGATATAATTGGCACAAAGTGGAGCTTGTTCCCAGTCCTGGGCTGGACTCCACCAGTACTGCCCCTTCCCTCGGGTCCTGTTTGTGGTGTTCATGGACTGTGTTTTAAGGTGCAGTTGTGGAGAGGAGGGTGTCAGGTTTGTCTCATCTCTGCTTTATGCAGATGATGTGGTTCTGTTGGTGTGTTCAAGCCATGACCTTTGACTGGGAACATCCACAGTTGGGATGAGAGTCAGCTCTAAGTCTGAGGCCATGGTTTTCAACCAGAACAAAGGTGCAATGCTCCCTCTGGGTTTGGGATCTGTTAGTAATGGTAGGATGAAGTAGGCAATGGGTCAACAGATCCGGGCCTAGTGAGCGTTGTTCTGGTCAGTCGTGGTGAAGAAAGACCTGCGCTTAAAGGTAGAACTCTTGATTTACTGGTAGGTCAACATTTCAACCCTTTATTGTGAGGCCTAGATTATGACCAAAAGAACAAAATCAAGGTCCAAGCTCTGACATTAGCTCCTCTAGAAGGTGGTCATCCTTAGAGATGGTCGAGGTGCTCCACTGTCCCCTCCTCTTATACATCAAAAGACATGGACAAGGCATCTGATTAGGAGACCTCCTGGATTCAACCGGTAGAGGTTTTCTGGTCCCTTTTGGAAAAGACACAAAACTTACTAGAACAATTATACTGAATATCCTTCCTGATCTTGGAACACCGTGGGATCCCCTGGGGGAGATGGGGAGGGTCACTGAGGAGAGGGACGTCTGGGTTTCCTTCTTGGACTTGTTGTCTTTGTGGCTTTCAGGAAGGATGTAATATAGTGACATTCATCCATGTGCTAACGTCAGAGAGTTACCGTTAGATTATATCACGTTACGTTTTGTTATGCCAACCAGAGACTCACTAACTGGAAGCGTTTTGTTTTTTATCCATCAAGTACATCTGACTCACGCTGCCACTCCTTTAAGGTCACTAACAGCAACCTGAACTTAAATACCAACACTAAACATAACCAACAGGGACAACTCATATGAACGTGTTTCTTGAAAATGTCCATCCATTTCTGTCCCAAGATTACCCAGAATCCCCTGCGCCTCACTCAGTCTCTTACGTTCGAGGTCAACATGTAATTTCAATCATGCCGACTGAAATTTAACAATAACCCACAAAACTTACCGTTTCTGTAAAATTTGATGATGTAATGAAACTAAAACACAACTTTAATACTGGATCAGCGTAAACCTAAATTTCATATTTAACCTTCAGTTTTTAGAGCAACTAGAATTTCTGCTCAAATTTTGGAATTTACAGATTTCAAATGAACGCATCACAAATTTTCTTGTGGCCAATAAATGAATAAGTAAATAAACCGACTGCCTTGCAGGTGTTCCTGAACATAGATATAAACACTATATCCATAGATCCATTATCATTATATGATATCTATGTTCCTGAAGGCTCAGAGGCCCGTGTTTCGGTCCCGCCCACTCTCCGTCAACATCGTGATTGGTTAATTTTCCTGTCAGTTATTCCACAAGCTCCTCCTGCAGAGAGCGACTGAGCCTTCTCTGCTGACACTGATGTCCTAACCAGTTCTGTTGGTGCTAAGATGGTGTCTTTGGCACGCCCCCTCCTCTGGTGCCGGCCCTCTTCCTCATCGACAGTCATGTCAAACTGGTTCAAAACCAGAAAACCAAAACCATTTTGTGTTGTGTGTTTCCTTGACTGATGAAGCCTTCTGGATGGAAGGTGAAACATTTCAGCACAAAAAAAAAAAAAATGTTCAGATGACCTGACTGAAAATTGTTGGATTATCAGTGTAGTTTTTTTTTCTTCACTATTTTCTCTTATTTTCTGTAAACTACTTTTCAGTTGAGCAAGAATTATTTTTTTAATTTCATAAAAATCCACTCAACCAATCAGACAGTTTTAAATTTTTGTCTGCAGGTGGAAACTGAAGGAGCTCTCATTGGTTTGTTCCACTTTGGAGTAAGCTGTTTGGGGGAAGAATCAGTTTTGTTGTGTGTTTCCTTGACTGATGAAGCCTTCTGGATGGAAGACGAAACGTTTCAGCATAAAAAAATAAAAAAAAGAAACTGTCCAGATGACCTGACTGAAAATTGCTGGATTGTATACCTGGATTATTGAGCATGGACTTTGTTACAACGATAATATTTATTTTATTAAAACCCTAAATGTAACATTCAACATATACTGAACTCTTGGGCCTTCTCTGAAGGCGTTGAAGGCCCTGATGGTTCCGTACTGGTACACTTTCATCCATGTAGTAGCGTAAATAACCTATGGTTACTAAAACAGCGACAAACTAAACAAAGGGTGTCATGAAAAAGTTTAGCTGATGTAGCGTTCTTTCACACATATGTCATTTTGAGAAAGTTTGTTTTTTAAGCTCTCGACCTTTGACCTCTCTAAGTGTCTTTAAGAATCTGTTGGACTCCTGGCAGGGACCAATGCAGACATGTTCCTGTTTTTAGTTTTCTACATTTGTCTTGGAATCTAGCTGTTTTTTGTTTTGTTACCTTTTTCCTTTTAGCCATCCTATTTGTTAAAAAAAAACCAAAAAAACCTGTAGTATGAGTTTTATAACTGCTTATTGTTGTTGCTGTTGTCCATTGTTGTCATCTTTCTTTGTTGAAATCAGGTCTCTCTTGTAAATGAGTCCTCGAGGCTCAATGGGATTTACCTGTATAAATAAAAGTTGATTGATTGATTGATGTCCCGTTTCTTCCAGATATCGCAACAAGACCAGGACTTCCTCCTCCTTTCAGGAAACACGATTATGGTTCGTTTGTTTTATCGATTAATAATCTGCTGCAACGTGGGATTGATTATTGATTAGTCTCTGACGCTGCTGGTTCCTCGGATTTGAGTTTAGGATTCTCCAGGTTTGGACACAACAAATGAAAAGCTTTAGTGTTTCCAGACTCTTTATTAAGAATGCATTTTCTAATAAAAATAAATAAAATATTCTAAACTGTAAAATGCAACAACTTGAGTCTTTTAGCAAACAAACATATTGGACTCGTCTTAAATTTGAAAAGTCCGATTAGGATTTTTAATTGAGAGACAAAAAGTCCAGATTAAAATGATTCTGGTTGAAAACAACATTTTCTGAAAGCTCCAAGTAAAGCAGAAGTGATGATGATGATGATGAAGATGATGATGAAGATGTCTGTCCTCCAGAACATGATGATGATGAAGATGCCTGTCCTCCAGAACATGATGATGATGTCTGTCCTCCAGAACATGACACTCAGGTCTCTCTGTAAAAGAGTCCTCGAGGCTCAGTGAGACCAACCTGTGGAAATAAAGGTTGAATGAAAATAAAAAACCTTCAAGGATTTTATTTAAAATAAAATAAAATGGTATCCTGATGCTGCTCGATAATCCAGGTAGAAAAATCTAAAAAAGTTAAGTCGGGTCAACAAACAAACAAACAAAATGTTTCTACAGTTTTTTGTTTTTTTGAAGTCCAGACGGCCTGACTTAACTTTTTTTAGAAAATAAAATGGTATATAGATAATAATAATAAAATATTGAGGGTAAGAAAATATTATAATGTGGCCATGAGACACATTAATTTCCTAAAGCACAAAAGATGAACAATTTAAAATAATAATGTTAACATGAATCAATTATTCAGCAGAGTTCACTTCATGGAGTCCATGACCCTGCAGGGTCTGTAGGATGCACTGACATCTAGTGGCACACCTCACCCTTTCCTCCGTCTCTTCATCTGGGCCAATAAATCCTCAGGATCTGGTCTCGGACACAAAGTTCAGTTTCATTGAAATGTAAAATCCACAGTTTGTGTGTGACGGTGTTCTTTTGTGTTCTCAGACACAATGAAGATCATTCATCAGGCTCATGGAGCAAAGGTAAAGGTTCTGCAGACTTGTGTGGTTCTGATGGTGATGACTACGTCTTGTTTGCAACTCATAAAAAGAAGAACCGTAATTTGATGAGCAAAGAGACTGAGTCCAGTCGAGACGTGATGTTTTGTTCATCTGAGCTAGAACTGTACGGTTGTTAAGGATATGTTTTATTTTTTAGACCAATGAATTGGTCATGAGTATCGACGATGACGAGCATCTCGTTCTGCAACACGACCAAACCCTCCGAGCTGCTGGAGTGGGTAAGAAGCTAAAAAAAATTTTATTTTGCTGATTTTTGATTAATCACCATCAGTTTGAAGATGAACTTAAATCCGTGCGATTTCCAGTATAAAACGTGCATGGAAATCCTTTTTACACAAATGTGAGACATAGGGCTGGCGATTGGGACCAAAATTACAGTAATGTCTCGATATTTCAAGATAAATGGTGACATACGATATATATCTCAATATTTTTTTCTGTCCATGAATAACAAAAATATATCGAGTCAAAGCTTTGTCCCAATTGTCCCACAGGCACATTTATGAACAAATAGCTGTACCAAATAACTGTCTAAAAAATAAACTATTTTATTAAATAATAACCCTCTTCAGCTGCGCCGCCTTCACGATGTTAAGCGTGCGTGCAGCTGCGACAGACTTCGTCCTCCTTCCCTGGGACGGGCCGCGGTGCAGGGCTCATTTGGACGTGCTGTGCCTTGTGAGCGGTGGAGCGACGTTAATAAAGAAGTGGCTTTATCGCTAAAGACTCGGTCCTTAGCGGCTAACAAGACCGCTAACTTTAGCCGTCTCGTTCCACAGTTGGGACGGTGTCGTTCTGCTTTGTTGGTGCCACGCTGCCTCTTGCGGTTCCTCTCGTGGGGCACTGGATGGATTTTGTGCCGAGGTTTGTCTCGGACAGGGAGGCTGGGGTCGGTTGGAGCTGCAGCTTCACACACGCTTCATACTCCACTTGTAGCGCGGTTGTAAATGGTGAAAAAGTTTCGTAGTTCTGACCTTTTATCAGGACTTGTTTTCAGCTTTGTCTACAGAAACATTTTTCTGCTGCTCATCTGACAATTTAAATCCAAACATCTCCAAATAACAGCCGCTCTTTTTCTTTTGGCTCAGCAGCTAAGCTGCTCCTGGATATCTCTCCAGTGTTTACTTGTTGTGCTAAACGTCTCCCGCCCACCTGAAGAAGCAGGAAGTGGGAGCGCACAGGTGACGGATGTGTTTGTATTCAGCGAGGGAGGCGGAGGGGCAGCGTGCAGTTGGCGGCGCAGACTGGAGAAAAAGAACTACATGGATTTTCAAGTCCAATTATAACTCAACGTAGAAATATCGATATAAACGATGTAGTTCCATCTTATGTCACGTATGAAGTTATCTCTGTTTTTAAAAGTATCGAGATATCGCCCAACCCTAGTGAGACACATCTCTGTGTAACGTTGTAAAGTAAGACGCTAAGATGGAGCACAGAAGTCCCCATCAGTGGTTTGACTCACAGAAAGACTGTGTTCCTGGGTGAGAACTGAGATGGAGGAGGTGCTCGGCCCAATTAAAGGGAGGTCAGCTTCTAGTTAGATGACCCTGCAACATGAACATGCACCGTGTCCACTTCTCCAGGCTCTCTTCCACCTGCTTCCTACTCTCACCCACTACAGATTACATTGTCGTCTGCAAACATCATAGTCCATGTGGACTCCTGCCTGGCCTCATCTGTCACCCTGTCCAGCACCATCACAAATAAGAAGGAGCTTAAAGCAGTCACTCCTCAGCGGAGTCACTCCTCAGCGGAGTCACTCCTCAGCGGAGTCACTCCTCATCAGAGTCACTCCTCATCGGAGTCACTCCTCATCGGAGTCACTCCTCATCAGTCACTCCTCACTAGAGTCACTCCTCAGCGGAGTCACTCCTGAGCGGAGTCACTCCTCAGCGGAGTCACTCCTGAGCGGAGTCACTCCTCATCGGAGTCACTCCTCATCGGAGTCACTCCTCAGCGGAGTCACTCCTCATCGGTCACTCCTCAGCGGAGTCACTCCTCAGCGGTCACTCCTCACTAGAGTCACTCCTCAGCGGAGTCACTCCTGAGCGGAGTCACCCCTCGTCAATCACTCCTCAGCGGAGTCACTCCTCACTAGAGTCACTCCTCAGCGGAGTCACTCCTCACTAGTCACTCCTCAGCAGAGTCACTCCTGAGCGGAGTCACTCCTCAGCGGAGTCACCCCTCAGCGGAGTCACTCCTCACTAGAGTCACTCCTCAGCGGAGTCAACCCTCATCAATCACTCCTCACTAGAGTCACTCCTGAGCGGAGTCACTCCTCACTAGAGTCACTCCTGAGCGGAGTCACTCCTGAGTGGAGTCACTCCTCACTAGAGTCACTCCTCACTAGAGTCACTCCTCAG